CACAAAACAATATTCTATTTAAAAATCAGGTCATTATCATATCTCGATAACGAGTAATTAAAAATCAACCATATTTGGTAAACATAAGTCATTATCATATCTCGATAACGAGTAATTAAAAATCAACCATATTTGGTAAACATAAATTTCAGGTCAAAGGTCAACTAAAAATGTCAACAAATTTTGCGCGCGCATCAAAATTTTAAAATGCTCTAATTCGTCCCAAATTTTGTTTGCACACGTTTTAGGTCATTTTTAGCATTTCAAAATTGTCCGTCCGTACGTGTCCGCGCGCGCGTCGCGCGCGCTTACAGAACGCTGAAAAGATCAAATTTAATTTTTGTTTACATGATTTAGATTCCTCTTACCGTAACTGAAAATTTACATAAATTTCGGTCACTCTTGACCTTTCATAAGGCCGTGAGCGCGCGTCAAAGTTCAAAATCCGCGCGTGCTGCTATGGGCAATATAATGCATATTTGATCAAAAACATGCCATTTAAAAAATCAAAATAGCTCTTCAGATAGTCCATCGACCCCAACTTTTATATCATGGTTGGAAAAAGCATGAGTTGGGGATATGATTTTATGTCTAATTTGACCCTCAACTAACTCATGACGTCATCATAATGGCCTCCGAACTCAAAATTTCAATTTGCATATTATGACGTCAGCATATTTTTGGAAAATGGATTGTATCTCTGTAAAAATTGATTAATTTTCTTTCAAATTTTGATATGTTCTACCTGAGAATATTCTCTACAAATATAGTCAAAATTATCTTTCATTTTGACAAAGGCATCATGGCGTATTTTTGCGATTAGGGGAGGCATGTCAATTTTTCACATTTTGCCTGTATTCTCTAAGGGACATGACTTTTTCTCAAAACTGGATTATACATTCTCGTCTTTCGCGAGCAATATCCCCGTCCTGTTATCTTAGTTTACGCTGAGCTTTGAGTATGTTGTAGCTAAGACAATACGCTATCACAAGTGTGCCCTTATTTACAAAGTGGGATTTGAGAATTCAATTTTCCGTTTACGTGTTATCTCTATGGGAAATGTTTTGGTATATCGGTAACGCACTTGACTTCTGACTTTGAGGTCCCTGGTTCGAGTCCGGGCGTCTTCAACAATTTGTTTCTTCACTTTTTTTTTCTTTTTGACCCTTCACTGCACCATCTCCTTTGAATATTAAAACACGTACAATCACAAATAATATAATAAACAACCATATTTACTTTATTACTACCCTATTATCACTTGATCCATTACTTTTTGCGTGTAATCCTTATGGAAGATGACTTTTTCTCAAATCTGGATTCTACATTCTTGTCTTTTGCGAGCAATATCGCCCTTATTTCGGCTTGATTTTTGTTGATTTTTGAGTATTTTGTAGCCGAGACTATATTATATCTAAATGTTTTCTCATTTTTTTCAGTCTGATGTCATCATGGTCTGTTGATGATAATCATCAACATCATCATCATCATCGTCATCGTCATCACCATTACTATCAAGATCATCATCATCATGATCATCATGATAATCATCATTGTTTACATGTCTATATAACTTCTCCCTTTCTCAATATAGTAAATATTATAATCTATCATAAGACTTGAAGACAGACCACCTTATTCGTCCTCGTGACGATTTAAATTCTAGTTTTCCTTTAAATTCTACAAACAATTAATTAGTATAATATATGTATAATTCTGAATAATTAATAATAATAATAATGTTTAATTTTTATATAGCGCTTAATACAAATGTATTTAAGCGCTTTACAAATATACTATTACCCCGGTAATTGGATCCAGTGCTTGCCCGGACACACTGTGTGCACAATCTCCACTCCCTGGGGAGCATTCTAGCCGGGCGTTACTTGACGCTCACAAGCTGTTTGACCAACAATGACGGGCGCATCCTACCGGGTACCCATTTGACACCTGGGTGGAGAGTAGCAAGTGCAGGTTAATATCTTGCCAAAGAATATTAGTGCCGTGTCGGGATTCGAACCTTCGACCTTCGCATCTCCAGTCAAGCGCCTTAAACCACTCGACCACGACACTTCCGAATATGCTTTCCATGTACACTTGGTTGTCGTTTTTCCATCTTATAACAAGATGCGTATGGATAAGGATCAGTTACACCAAAAGACTTAATGCCCATTTTCCTCTTGTATCATGCATGCACCAACAAGTTTGATTCATTCCCACCCAAATAGTATTGATTCAATTCCCTAGTCCCATCCTTTTCTTTATCTCTCCTTCATTTTTTTATCACCTTTTTTCAAAACTGATTTTTAATATTTTTCTTAAATCTAGATGACCCGGTTGTGTTTATGTCTTTTCAACGGCTTACATCAAATACATCAAGTACTGGGTTCGTGTTGACATGTACCTCGGACGCCAATCCTCCTGCTTATATCTTCCAATGGCTCTGTAACGGCACACAATTTTCAAACGAGACATGTAACATTACATTCTCCGAGACTATAATCGAAGGTGAAACGCTGACTTCCAGTCAAGTGGTGATTCGAAATCCTCTTTCCGAAGATCCTTGCGATTTGAAATGCATTGCTGTTTCAAGCAATGGTTCCGGTAGTGCAGTGTTCAACTTCACAAGTGTTCGTAAGTAGTATTGTGTTTGTATTGTATCTCTAGGCTGATGTGTTTGGCTTTTATGATTAGTTTGTTAAAGCGTCCTAAAATCACCCCCTTATTTCCCTTTCCATTTTAGATAGGCATCCATGTAATTTTCTTTCGAAAATGCGATAATGAAATTTTGATATCGGGGTTACCCAACCCCGAATTCCAACCAATAAAAGGAACACGCACCCTCCTGTCACGTTTAACCACTTCAACGATTTTGAGCCATTACACAATGCTAGCTCAATATATTTCTTTACTTGTCTCTATTATAATTTTGTTTTGCTTTGTTTAGCTCTTCCCCCCCCCCCCTTTTACCGTTATTCTGGACCTAGAGGAAGGATTGTTGATTTGTTTTTTTCAAAAGCAACCCAAGCCTTTGAGGGGATTTGATTCATGATCATAACAAAAACAGAGGAGGGAAATTTCTGTTCCTTCTTGAATTGACCAGAGTGCATTAATCCCTGTATGGGGTTCGTGCTGATCCGAATGTTTAACGTTTGTTTTGACCTCTGGCAGGGGTTTGTGTAATTAACCATCTTATTATGTAAATGAGCAATAGGGATTTTTCCTCCCAGACGAGAATGAGGGGCGAATCCCCCCCCCCCCTGCATTTTGGAAGGGGAGTTGGAAGAGGTAAAAGCAAAATAAGAAAATGGAAATAAAGTGATGTGATGTGATTTTATTTTATTCATTTCTGGGCACAGAGGTCAGCATTGATCCGGATGTTAACACAGCTTTGGTGACCTTTGGCAGGGATCTGTGCACTAAACCAGCAAATGCAACAGGTAGGCTATTGAGTATTCTTCCTCTTATAATTATTCATAAAAAGGAGAATATTTCGAGATTTGCTCCAGGAATTTACTGTCAATTCACATTACTGGAATGTTCTCAAGATCTTGATGAAAGCGAGATTAATTGGAGTGACAAGAACATAGCAGAAGTTTTCGTATTCGATAGAATACTAACCATACCGCGCTTCCCTAATTTGATAAGCTTATATGTAAAGTGTACAATAATACGGCCGAAATTACCTAGATGTAGTGAACATACAGAACAAGCAATGTTCGACCATGATACAAACAAGTTCATGAACAGATCTGTCTATGTGCGTCCGTGGGTGAGCTCTTTTACATCTTTGTGTTTAGCGGGTTTTCACCTGTGTGTGTGGGTGGACTCACATAAATGTGTAGATTATTGTGTTACATGCGTGGGGAAAGATGAATTTCCATTTGTGAGGGTGTATTACTGTGTTAGAGTGGATAAGCATGCAGATATGGATGGAGCACTTGTAGGTTTTTTGGAAATACTAAATTTTCATCTTGCCAAACACAGCAACAAATCCTACAAAGCTTTATAAAAAACACTATTCAAAACACGAGGGATATAGAGATGTGAACGAAACATCCATACCTAAATAATGGATATAACTAAATTTGCCATTAAACTAATTTCTTACAACATTGTTGAGAAAACCATTATCCACTACATTCCAATCATGGTATTGTTTGTCCTAGACTCACCAGTTGAGAAGCAGCCGTCAACTGAAAAAAAAACATTATTTTTTTTTGGAAAATCCGATAATCTTGACACTCTGTTATTTTTTGGTCATCTTTTGTCCTACTTAGCCTCTACAGGTCTGAGTGATCCACCATTTACAAGAAGAAAGACATATGTCATGACAATCGCTCTTGGAGTGATTGCTTCCGCTGGCTTCATTTTGGTTATTTCACTAGGATTGATGTACTTCTATGGAACGTTATGCTGCGTGAAGCGAAGGAAGGGTAAGTTGTAAAGCATTCACCTCTAACAAACCAAACATGAATATTATAGGTGATGTATTCCACAAATCGTTATTAAAGTATGTTCTCTAGGCTGTAATCTTCAGTGATATTGTCATGTGTTTCATGTTTTTTTTTTAACTTGGGCTTTAATAATTGTATATCGTTCTTGTTTGTTTTGTTTTTTTCTTTTTTTCCGTTTTACTTCTCTCTCTCTCTCTCATGAACTGAACTGAACTGCAACTAAAAAAGATTATAATTTACGATATTATTTGAGTTAAATTTCCTTTAAGATAAAAAAAGACATTGAGGTAAATACATATTTGTATCTAAAAAAATCAACCATTTTATTCTTCATTTTGTATTTGAGGTAAATCTAGAATACAAGCTTGCAAATTGATTAGTTTTTCGATCTGCTACATTGTAGTAGTTGACATGAATACTATTCTATTATATAAAATATATAAAAAGTAAAATATTTATATCTCACGTTTAAAAGGAAGTAACATTGCCAATATGTGTATTTTTGTTTTTCCTTTATCCAAATTACATGACGTCCGTTGCATTTCAAGCAGACAATGGAGACAACACTCAACCAGAAGGCAGAATGGTAAGTTTTTCTTTTGTAATTGATGATCAATATACCTTTTTCTTTTGTATCAGTAATTAAGATAAATAAAAATAAAATTACTTTTTTGTTCATTACTTTCCATAGGGAAATACACACATGTCGGGTATAGTTTTAAATTTAGATTTATCTATTTAAGATGTAACAATTTCCCTACAATTTGAGTGTCATTGGCAGGTAAAGTAAACTATGTAAGTGGTATAACAGCACACCCCAAAGTATCCATGCCATCTGGAGAAAATGTGTACATGTGTACACATTTAACGGGGAAATAATGTGATCTTGAATATTACCTCAAAATCTGTCCCTTCGCTTGAAGTGCTACCAAATGATATCAAACGTGTGTTTTACTCTTTGCCATTTACATTTATTTTCAATTTCCATTCTTGAAGGGATCCAGCAACTGTGTCTCACATTCAGAAAATATGTCCTTGATTCATCTCATGCTGCAATCAAAATTATAAACCTCTAGGGCAAACATGAATCCCATGACATTTACAAGCCGATTGCCTGTCTGATTATCAATATATTTATGATTGTAAATCGAAATCAAATGTTGCGTTTTCCTAACGGTTCTCATACCATTACAGTCTATTGGGGAAAATGAGTATGGAAACAAAACTGGTCGCTCTGAAGGACATGATCACTTTAAAGTCCATCTTTTTGTAATAGGGCTTCAATATTTAACCATATCACACAAACATCTCAGATTTAACATTGTTAAACGATGCCTTTAATCGTTTGTTATTCAAGTCCATGTTAGAAATTTGTGAAACCTCTGTAAGCCTTAAACTCAAAATCAACCACATTTGACAGACTGATCTCCATATCAGTTCCCTAAGAACAATACTATGAAATGTTTGTTTTAATCAAATTCTTTTACCCCACGCAGGTTGATGATGATGGATTGGTCTATGTGTCTGTCTCCCATGACCACGCCCATTCCCCTAATGCCCCGCCTATACAGACAGAGGAACCCACTGTCTACGCCTCTCTTAATCCAGAAGTCACGCAACGTCGCAAGGGAGAGATGGAATATGCCGACACAAAGGCGACAACTCCCGACGGACAACCGATGTACGGGAACTACTTGGCCAAGAAGAGAAACCGGCAAGAGCAGGCCAGAATGACACCACCCGTACAGACGTACGATGCAACCTACAATGCCGAAGGCATGGATTGCCGCAAGGGAGGAATGAAAGGTGACATAGGACCTACGACACTAGATGATCCCATGTACGCAAACTATTTTGCCAAGATGCGCAAAGACGAAGAAAGAGCTAAACAGATTGCAAGTACGCATGATCCGTTTGAGATGTATGGTATTTAAGCTCTATCCTCCACTTGTATAACCTAAATGAAATAACAGGTTGCAATAATTGATATAAGCTATTGAAATGTGACAGTACTTAATATGACAATGTATAAAATGGGGCCCTGTATATTTGATTTTATCCAAGAAAAGGCGAAAAATTTGCGAAATAACAAAGACGAAATAATATACTCCACACTTTCAAAGCAAAAAATATTATAAGTGTTTTTTTAAACAATGTTTTGATGTACATATCATGTTATTCATATTTATTACCTAAATCTACATAATGCTCAAAAGATATTTGCAAACATGTAACAACTGTGTGTACATACACTTTCTTAATTACGTCGTATAACAATGAACGTTGCATTATTCGAGCAACACACTCTATATTTACATATACATGCATTGGTTAACATCAAATACATTTTAAATTGCTACGCATTAACATATAATGTTTGTCATCCAATCTTTGTACAGTTTTGCCTAGGATGTGATCATGCAGAATGTAGAATTTACAGGTTACAGTAGGAGACTAAATCTATATAATATTCTAGTGCTGTGTTCAACAGTCGTACATTACAAAAAAACTTGGAATGACACATGCCGACTTATAATTTAACAGTCACCTATTAAAATTCACTCGTATACTCATTATCTGTAATAAGTCTGTTAATGTAAGATGTGCCATCAAATTAATATAAAAATGGGTTTCGCTACAAAATGGTAGATCTGCTTAATAGTGTAATATCTGTTATAAAACCTTGAGGTTTTTTTTAACAAACATATGTAAGGTAAATGATTTTTACTACAATGACAGATATTATAACTTTCATATAAGCCCACATCTACATGTTTGTACATCTAAAGAAAAAACCTCATCATTGCCCCGTTTCACTCTGAAAAAGATCATAGACCTGTACCAAATGTATCTATAAAAACTGCACATATAAAGCAATGGTGAGGTTTTAAGAGTTTATATACACTCTAATGACATGTTCTTAACATTTATCTCAATAAATGCTGGATAGATTAAAAAAAACAATGACATCTAAATGGTTATTCATTACTTGTGTGAGGAAGCGGGTTATCTAGATGATTAAAGAGAAGGTTCATTGATTTAAAAAACTAACTTTAATGTCATCATTGCAAAGGTGACACTTTGATTGGCCAAGGTTATCAAAAGCCAGTGCTTGGAAACATTCGAAGTAATGATTATTAACAATTACAAAATGCTTAGATACAGCCCCGACATAGCACCTGAAAAGTTCCCCGGTCGCTGCTGAGATATGACGTCACATGTTGAACATGATGTGCACAAGCAGACGATGTCCCATGACATCTCACACAATTTCAGTGCCTGTTTTGTTATCTTTTCTTCAGTTATTTCTCTTACTTCAATACCTTCAGGCAAAATGTTTAATCTATTGCCTCACTCTTAACCCCGTGCATGGTATTATTTTGATGAAAAAATGCAAGGATTAAAAAAAAAAGGAATCCGTCGCTTGTAAACAAAATAAGACGCCATTGTATTTTCAGCTGCATACACCGCGGCAGGTTCGGCGTTTCAAGAGGGAACAATAATGACGTCCAGCTATCATTCCGGAGGTTTTTTAATTTGAAAGTGTGGTTTCTTTGATCGTTCATTAACCCATATCCTGTGTATTTACAAACAAAAGAATTTAGTTATCAGAATGGGGGTCATATCCCTTTTTGAATGGTGTAAAATGCCATCACATTTATATACACTAAACTCATTATAATTTGAGAAATATAAGCATTGCAATTATGTTCATTCTTTATGGGATGTCGTCTGCTTGGGCAGGGTTGGTTCATATTGTGACGGCATGAAAACTTTTTTTTTTCCGGCGAATCTCTCGCATATCCCAGATGCTATGGAGGTTGTTTTATTTGTATTTTTATAAACCACCCGATATGTAGTTGACCTAAAACTTGCATAATAGTCATCTAATAGCTTACCAGTTTCTAGTAATACGCTATTTGCCGTATTTGTGATTTTCTATGAACCCGCACTTTAAGCTGACGTATACATTCTTCTCTCTCAATGAGAAGGACCTGAAGCATTTTATCGTCCATGGAATTGTCGTCGTCAGAGCTAGCTCCAGACACAGAGTCGATGGCCTTGAAAGGGACGTAAAAATGTAAGAGGATAATGTGTCAGATAAAAGGGTGAAATATTTATGAATGATGTTGAGGAAATAATTAAATTCACAAGGAGGACAAAAGAATATTTGTGAACAAGGTTTTAATTAAATAATGAATGTATGGAGGATGCAAAAGTGGCCAAAATATATTGAAATTACACTTATACCACCTTTCCCGTCTATGTAACATGATTTGTCCACGATAAAGGATAATGAAACACTGGGTTGTGGTGTGTTCAACACAATAATAGTGTAAACTAAGAAATAATACAAAGATCCTGCTTATTAAAGTCCGTTTTTTTATCAATTTGGAAAACGGACTTTAATAAGCGAATAGTGTATTATAAATGTGATTTTCAAGCGGAGAAATCATTATAAGTTATCATTGGCTGTATTGTAACATGTTTAGCCAACACATTATATACGAAATGTATCATTATTTTAATAAAATTAATAAATTTAATAAACATTTAGTAAAAATGATCATGCACATTTTTTACCCGGATTTCAAGATATATGACACTATTGTATTCTAAAACTGCATTGTAAGATACCTACACAGTATTAAATATTGTATTGTTACAATTTTCAATTCACCTGATTTTATATTTTTAAATTATTAATACTGTATATTCCTATTTCTCCCTTTCTCTCTTAAACTACGATGCTCTCTAATATAACATGTGTACATCGAATTGTGTACGCCTGTTAGTGCAATGACCCTTTTTGAATCTGTTCCAGAGCCAGAACTACCCTCTCTAATTAACGGGATGCACAAACCATAACTAACACGTTCGTGTAATTCAGTTTACCATGAACAAGATGGGGCACACGCACCGATACTTTGATCCTATTGCTAACATATTTACGAACAAAACTGCGTTTGTTGTGATCTAAATTGAATAAAAGATTTTAAGAGCATCTGAAGTATGGTTCGAGTAAACTGTTTTCATGCCTTTGAAAATTTGACTGAGGCAACCGCTTCCGTATACGGAATTAAGTCGTGGTTGTTTGACTCAAACTGCTAAACATAAATGAATTAATTATGTATACATGGCAATATCTTTAATCACAGTTATGCACTTACAAAAAACTAAATAAAATAGAAACAAGTGGTTCGTAGCGTTATAATATTCTTTTGTAACATCTGTTTTCTTTCAGAAACATTTGTATGATATATGCTTCCTATTCATCTTGTGGTCTTGTGGACTAAATTAATATTGTATTACAATTATTAGGTGAAATAACACCAAAAGCAATATAATATATGCAGTCAGTGTCAGTTTTATGGACGCAAAGGGTATACAAATAAAAAGGATTGGTAGTAAAAAAAAAAAAAAAAAAAAAAAAAAAAAAAAATAACAAGAAAATAATTTGAATTTTAATATTGAAAAGAGAGGGAAGGGGAAAATTGGTGTGTGTGTGTGAAAGTGAATAAGTGAAAGAGATAGAAAAGAAAACGAGGGGGAGAGAGTTGAAATACAAAAGTAACGGAGAGAGCAATAACAAGAGAGAGGGAGAGAGAGAAATGGAGAGAGAGAGAGAGAGAGAGAGAGAGGAAGAGAGAGAGAGAGAGAGAGAGAAAGAGAGAGAGAGTAGAGAGAGAAGAGAATAAAAGAGAATAAGAGGCAGACACATGTACATCCATTTAAAATTGGATTTTCCACCTGAATATGATAAATCTCATTCCTTCAGACTTGAATTTAGTTCCGAAATTCACTTTAGAGAGTCTTTGGACCAGCGTTTCTGAGCAATTTAAAAGTATTAATCATAACCTAATAATCGTTTATGTATCAGAGCTCATAAGAATTTCGAAATTTCCAAATACTGCCTTCACCATTTCTCAAAGACCACTTTCTCTCCAGAATAAGAACTGGAGTCGGATACTACAAGACATATATTCTTATTGTTTTTGTTTTTTCTTTTCTTAAGGCAGCTCAAAGGCTTTATTGCATCTAGTTTACAAAGTAAGATAACAAGATATATATTTTACATAAATATGATACATGATAGTCATAATGAACATATAACATGAGTTAATACCAAGGGTGTGTTCAGTAAAGTAATAAACGTTCTTCCCCATTCTTAACCCAACCCATTGTGCATTTCTCGTGAGTGTATTCATTTTTTCTAGTCCGAAAATGGTAGAATATATATACTTTGCTACCTGTTTTTGTTTCTTATAGAAACTTTTAATTCAAGCAGGTGACTTAAAACCACTATAAATGTTGGTAATACACGCGCTAAATAGTAATTGCTACACTGACTTAAAAGACCTATGGACAACTTGTACTATAAATATTGTTTTGATACCTTCCAATCTGAAGTAATTTTGCAATAGTGCCTGAAGGAAATGAGCGTCCCTTTTCTCTAATAATTTATAACGTGTTAATTGTCATTTTAAATTGATGGTTCAGTGAAGTTTTTGAAACTGAACCGATTTCAGAAGGACATATACAAATGCTAGCATCCATCATGATATTTGTTTCGTTTTCAACGCGAGGATAATATGGTAAATCTCCTCAAAAACATCGTATAGCTCGCTTTATACTGGTTGCTTCCTTTCATCATGAAGTCTTCCCAATCTCCTTGCTTTCATAAAATTACGGTGCATTATTGGACAGAGTTGTAAAGCGTATCTTTGAATGGCAAGATACCATGACTGAATGATGATGTCGATTTGTGCAGAAGCTCTTCTTTTTCTAGTTTGTATCATCTCCAAATATGGTAAGTTTGATTTCGTGTTTGGAATGTAAGTGTAAGTGAACTTAGCCTATAGATGAGACTTTGGGAGGTGTAATTAATAAAATGCTGGATGCAATATTTTATTAAAGTAATAATATACATAGTCTTAGA